AGTCATTGCATATTACACTGTAATATTGATTATAACAACACAAAGTACAGTGACATTTAATACAACTGCATTTGGCAGAATCCATTAAATATTCTGGGCTGGCCTTTGAAATTATCGCCAATTATAGAACAGATGTCAGAAAGTTTAATTGAGCTAGCTTTGTATGCTTGACATGTTTTGACTAATTACCCATAACCCGGTCTCTCTGGTTGTCAGTAAATATTGAGAGAAATTATTTACATCGCGAATTGGCGATTTTTAATTCTCTAAAAGGAAACAAATCAGATTTTAGTAAAAACGGTAAAATTGACGACCTGTCAGACTAACTCGCGCAATTAGAGAGTCAGAATGCGGATATATGAACGAACACTCACAAAATAATATATCACCACGGCTGGCCTGTATCCCCGACCTGGTTCCCACGACCTATCGCGTGATTTCAATTCCTTACGTAGGCTGGCGGCGCTGTCTGGCGAGGCACGATGACGCCAGCGTCATGGTGATATAATCTTATTATACTATTAAAACATAATATATAGGTTATTAAATAATTTTTTGCTGATCTTACTATAATTCACGAAACATAAAAACAAAATTTATTTATTTGTTTATTGAAATAAATGTTGATTCTGTCTCGTATACCTCTTGAAGACTGATGGCAAATACCACGATATCTGTTTCCGCGAACCAATGTTTACCCAGACCGATTGTAGGCACATGGTATTAACAGTAAACTAAATATGAATGTATGCGTATGATACCTACCCACAATCCTCGGGGGCGGACATCCGGGCAATTTCTACCGCCTGGCAACCCTCGCGGTGAAAACAAAGACCAAATACTCGCAGAAAACGGTACTTTGCGATGGTTGTTGAGAGTCCCCTGAACAGTGTAACAAGATTAGTCCTACGTGTGTAACATATATAAATTTGGTTGTTCAGGATTACTTCAAAGTTGAGTTTGTGTTGTTTTTTCGAGTTTTCACCGGCTCCACCGGCGTTCCACAGCAGCGCGCACAAAGCCCATAGAAATACGTGGTACAGTGGCGCGCGTCTTAGCAACGTAGAACGTCTGTGACGTAGCTCCGCCCCCGAGGATACACTTATTTGTTCTTGTTCTTACAGGCGTCTCGTTATCACTATACGTACAGCGACTGTCACGCTGACTTTTGTCCAACTTGAAATGGTGTGACATGAGGGAGGGGCGAAGCTGTCACCGCACTTCGCGGGAGCGTCGTTTTGTAATTTAAAGGGCGGTGGTCGTCGCGTAGCGCGTGTTCGAATTTCATGTAAACAGACAATGTATTTTACACGCGTTGTATACGTCACTATGTGTCCTCCATATCGAACAGGACGTGGCGCGACGACAACCGCCTTTTAAGGTTCTGCTCTCAGACTGAATTGTTGGGTTATTAAGCCAGAAAATAATGTCTAGATTTCATCATAACATCAGACAATCATTAAAATAGAGTGGCCTCAAACATCGGGGATTCCGGATTTTTACTAGTAAACAAATTTAATTAAAAACATATCGACAACGAAAATAATATTTTTCGTTGGTTCCCGGTTCCATTCCTTGTTTGGTGCGGTACCCCCGCGGGATCACTGATGTACGGGTATGTGAGGCACCAACAAAAGACCGAATTATTCGAAAAGACACCCATTGAAACACATTTTCAAGAAAAACCCCTTGACTAATCATACTACATGAAAAACCCACCCCTTATTACAGATATAATACGAGTACATTCGTTAAAAACACAGTGAAATAAACATATCATTGTCACATATCACACAAATCACGACAGCAAAAATACACACACATTTGATTCCTGAAAGTGTGAAAAGGGTACTGCCCATTTCAAAACATAATTTATAGACCCCCTGGGGACCAAGCAACTACGAAACGCAACGACCCATGGGTACGAGCACAGTCCCCCTATCAGAGCACGGTTCAGAGGGACTGTGGTACGAGTTTTCTTCCAAACTTCAGCTGGTACTTGAGGGCGCTGTACTGGAAATAAGTCTTTAGTATCGTCATCTTGTGGGTGTGTTCAGCTTCTCGTTTTGTTGGTCAGAAAAGCTGGCGTTCTTTATTGGGGGTATGTGTTCACTTGTTATCAATCGCATTAATGGTTTGTGTAGAACGTTCCGACCCAGACAATTGACTCTCCGAGCAGCAGTTGCTTTTCACACAACTGTTTTCTTTTAAACGAAGTCTATCAATCCGAAAATGGCGGAGTGTTATCTGAAGTAGTTTCACCTGCGCTATCAACTCGCTCATAATATTTCATCTCCTCGACGATGTGATTTTCTAAAATAATTTATGTCCTGTTGTAAATTAACGAATAATGTATTGATTTTTCATTGTTTTAATTATTACAGAAGTTCGATTTCATTTTCCTGAATAACAATTACGTAATACAGTATGACTGAAGTGAAACCAGAAGTTGGCGAGCTAAAGTCGTTTGATGCCAGCAAATTGAAACACGTTGATACTGTGGAAAAGAACCCTTTGCCATCCGTGGACAGTAAGTTATTTATTAGCATGTGTATAGCCAGGTATCCCACCCCAAATTGTCAGCTTATATTCCTGAAAAAATCAGGACCGGCGAGCAACATTATAAATTGCTATATTTCAAAAAACAGATTTTTTTCAAAATGCAGGAGCAGTTTGTACCGCTCACAATTTACTTTATGATGATGAAATCAATGATATTTTTGAAAAAAAGGAT